AGTGGGAGGAAGCCGGAGTACCCGGAGGGAACCCACGCAAACACGGGGAGAACATGCAAACTCCACACAGAAAGACCCCGGCCTGGTGTTGGAATTGAACTCAGGACCTTCTTGCTGTGCGGCAACAGTGCTAACCACCGTGCCACCGTGCTGCGTCAATCAATCAATCAATCAATATTGATGAGCAGTTAGGCTTGTAGCACTGTAACCTCAATTTCTAGGTACAATCAATATGCCTATTTTAAGTCTCTTTGCACAAGATTTCATCTTTGTTTTTTGTTTTTGATGCTATGCTTAAACATTAACAACAAAAACACAGACATTAAATAAAGTTGTTAACTGTGTCCTCATTAGGATCGAGCAGGGGTAGGGAACTCCAGGCCTCGAGTGCCGGTGTCCTGCAGGTTTTAGATGTGTCCTTGATCCAACACAGCTGATTTAAATGGCTAAATTAGCTCCACAACATGCCTTGCAGTTCTCCAGAGGCCTGGTAATGAACTAATCATTTGATTCAGGTGTGGTGACCCAGGGTGAGATCTAAAACCTGCAGGACACCGGCTCTCGAGGACTAATGTTCCCTACCCCTGGGATAGAGATTTGTGTTAACATGTGTAACATGAAACAATAATTCTCCTCAGTCTCTCTCAGACCTGAAGATTTTAGTGCAATTTCACATTTAGTCTATTTACTGTGGTCGTAATTAGTTAAAGTTTGTAAGCAAACAGTAATGCGTCGTTACAATGCATTGTTACAGTAATTCTTACTTAAAAAACAAACAACATTTTCAGAGCAGCTCAACAGCATCTGTGAAAATCTAACCAGTGTATTGTTTGCAATAGAAAAAATGGAATTATAAGAAAGAACAATGTGAGCATTATAGTAAGAACTTTTGAACACCTTAGCTACAAATTTACATTGATTTACAATGTTAATCAGATATTTACTCACTGAGCCTTTCTACAGTTCCTCACAGCAGGAATCAGTCTCCTTCGTCCCTCATCCGATGTGTTATACTTCTTCAGGACAAACTCATCCAAAACCTCTGACATCTGCAGCATGTAGGCCAGAGCTGAGCAGTGGATCTCAGAGAGCTCCTTCTCTGATCCGTTTTTGCACTTCAGAAACTCCAAGATCTCCTGATGTACCGTGAGTTCATTCATTTCCATCAGACAATGGAAGATGTTGATGCATCTGTCAGGAGAGGTATTCTCATTGGTTATCTTGCAAAGGTTGCTGATGATTCGCTGTATAATTTCTGGAGTGCTCTCTGTCTTGCCTAGCAGACCTCGTAAGAGTCTCTGGTTGGACTCCAGAGAGAGACCATAAAGGAATCGGACCAACAGGTCCAGGTGTCCATTTTTAATTTGGAGGGATTTCTGCATGACTCTGCTCAGAAAGACATCTAAAGACGAGATGTCACCACAATAAACATGTTCACCATTCCCTAGAAAATGCTTCAGCACTTCTGTTTTTCTGTTAGTATGACAGTGAAACATGTAGACTGCAGCCAAAAACTCCTGAATACTCAGATGAACAAAGCAATAGACTGATTTCTGGAATATCACACAGTCTCGTTTGAAGATCTCTGTACAAACTCCTGAGTACACTGAGGCCTCTGTGACATCCAGACCACACTGCTCCAGGTCTTCTTGGTAGAACATTATGTTTCCTTTCTCAAGATTTTCAAAGGCCAGCCTCCCCAGCTTCAGAAGAACTTCACTGTCAGCCTCTGTCAGCTCTTGTGGACTCGTCTCATATCCCTCATGGTACTTGTGCTGTCTCTTTGTCTGAACGAGCAAGAAGTGTGAGTACATGTCAGTCAGTGTCTTGGGCAGCTCTCCTCTCTGCTCTGTAGTCAACATGTGCTC